AGACCCTTCTGCTTCTATTGTGTGGAATACTTTGAGAAGTATTGGTATAAGCTGTTCTTTGAATTTCTGGTAGAATTCTGTCATCTGGACCTGGACTTTTTTTGGTTGGCAGACTTTTTATGACTGTTCTATTTCCATAAGGGTTATAGGTCTATTTAAATTGCTTATCTGTTGTTGATTTAATTTTGGCAAGTGATAGCTATGCAGAAAATTGTCCATTTCCTTTAAATTTTCAAATTTTGTGGAGTACATGTTTTCAAAGTATGACCTGATGATTCTCTGGATTTCCTCAGAGTCTGTTGTTATGTCACCCTTTTCATTTCTGATTTTGTTAATTTGCATATTCACTCTCTGCTGTTTGGTAAGTTTGGACAAAGGTTTGTCTATCTTGTTGATTTTCTCAAAGAACCAACTCTTTGTTGCATTGATTCTTTGTATTGTTTTCTTAGTTTCTACTTTATTGATTTCAGCCCTCAGTTTGATTATTTCCTGGCATCTACTCCTCCTGAGGGAGTTTGCTTCTTTGTGTTCTAAAGCTTTCAGCTGTGCTGGTAATTCTCTAGTATAACTATTCTCTAGTTTCTTCATGTGGGTACTTAGTGCTATGAACTTCCCTTGTAGCACTGCTTCCAAAGTTTCCCATAGGTTTGGGAATGTTGTGTCTTCATTCTCATTGAATTCTAGGAAGTCTTTAGTTCCTTTTTTATTTCATCTTTGACCCAGGAATGTTGCAATTGTCCATTATTCAATTTCCATGAGTTTGTAGGGTTTCTGCAATTTGTGTTGTTGTTGTTGAATTCTACTTTTAAAGCATCGTGTTCTGATAAGATGCATGGAGTTATTCCAATTTTTTGTACCAGTTGAGGTTTGTTTTATTGTCAAGTATTTGGTTGATTTTTGTGAATGTTCCATGTGGTGCTGAGAAGAAGGTATATTCTTTTTTATTTGAGTGAAATGTTCTATAGATGTCTGTTAATCCCAATTGGGTCATAACTTCTAATGGCCCCTTTGCTTCTTTGTTAAGTTTCTGTCTGGTATTCCTGTCCAGTGGTGAGAGTGGGGTGTTGAAGTCTCCAAGTATACTGTGTGGAGTTTTATATGTTATTTGAGTTTTAGTAAAGTTTCTTTTACGAACTTGGATGCCTTTGTATTTGGGGCATAGATATTCAGAATTGAAATTTCACCTTGGTTGATTTCTAATGTGATGTGTATGTAATGACATCCTTCATCTCTTTTGATTGATTTTATTTTAAAGTCTAATTTGTTAGGTATTAGGATTGCTACCACACTTGTTTCTTGGGTCTGTTTGATTGGAAAATATTTTCCCAAACTTTAACTCTGAGGTAATGCCTGTGTTTGAGGCTGAGGTGTGTTTCTTGTATGCAGCAGAAGGATGGATTCTGTCTTAGAATCCATTCTGTTAGCCTGTGTCTTTTTATGGGTGAGTTAATACCATTAATATTGAGGGATATTAATGACCATTGATTGCTCATTCTTCTTTGATTTGGAATGGTTGGTGGTGGTGGAATTATATGTGGAATTCCACCCCTTTTTTCTTTTGGCTATTGGTAAGGTGGAATTACCTATTGCCTATGTTTTTCTGGTTGTAGTTAACTTCCTTCATTGCAGTTTTCCTTCCAGAACTTTTTGTAGAGCTGGGTTAGTGGATATGTATTGCTTGAATATAGTTTTGTCACAGAATATCTTGTTTTCTTCATCTATAGAGTGATTGAAAGCTTTTCTGGGTATAGTAGTCTGGGCTGGCATTCATGTTCTCTTAGTGTTGGTAGAATATCTATCCAGGACCTTCTGGCTTTCAGAGTTTCCATGGAGAAGTCAGGTGTAATCTGATAGGTTTGCCTTTATATGTTACTTGGCCTTTTTCCTTAGCTGCTCTTAATATTCTTTCTTTATTCTGTATATTTGGGGTCTTGATTATTATGTGGTGAGGTACTTTTCTTTTGTGGTCCACTCTATTTGGTGTTCTGTAAGCTTCTTGTACCTTCATTGGCATGTCTTTCTTTAAGTTGGGGAAGTTTTCTTCTATGATTTTGCTGAATATATTGTCTGCCCCTTTGAGGTATTTTTCTTCACCTTCTTTACCTGTTATTGTTAGGTTTGGTCTTTTCATGGTGTCCCATATTTCCAGGATGGGTTTTGTTAGGGATTTGTTGTACTTAAGATTTTATTTGGTCGATGAATCAATTTCCCCTTGTGTATCTTCAACACCTGAGATTCTCTCTTCCATCTCTTGTATTCTGTTGGTTATGCCTGTATCTGTAGTACCTGACCATTTGCCCAGCTTTTCCATTTCCATCCGTCCTTCAGTTTGTATTGTTTTAATTGTCTCTACTTGAGGTTTCAACCCTTACAATGTTTGAATTGTTTCTTGCAATTTTTTTGTTTTGTTTTTTCGTTCATTTCTTACAGTTTTTGCTTTGTTTTTTCTTCCATTTCTTGAATTTTTTGGTTTGTTTTTTCTTCCATTTCTTTGAGTAATTTTCCTATATCCTCTTTCATGAATTTGTTTTTAAGGTCATTCTCTTCTGCTTCATTTTCATTGGAATGGTGGAGTCTTGTTGGTGTGGAGTCTCTAGAATCTGGTGGTGTCATATTTGTTTTTCTGTTGCTGATTGTGTTTTTGTATTGTCTCTTTCCCAACCCTTCTCTAGTGGGTGCAGAAAGAGCCTCTTCCTGGTCTGGTGGTTAGGGGACCAGAGTTCCCTTTTGGTGGTTACAAGCAAGTCTAATACTCTGGTAGTTCTCCTCTTCCTGGTCCTCGTCCTGGTCTTGTGGGTGGAGAAAATGACCAGGATTCTGGGGTGCAGGTGCATAGGCTCCCACTGGCGGCCTGCAGGCACTGGTCCTGGTCCCCTGGTCCCATTGGTGGAAGAGAAGACCAGGAATCTGGAGTGCATGGCTCCCGACAAGAGGGGAGGCTCTCTGGCAGTCTCCAGGCATTCCCCAGGCACTGGAAGCCAGGCCCAGATATAGGGCCTGGTTTACCTGGTCCCATTGGTGGACACTAATTCTACTTTTAAATTTTTACTCTTACAATAAATGAGGAGTGTAAGAACTTTGAGATGAACAATTCCTTTCATAGTTAATACAGAGTAATACCGTTGCCACTTTTGCCAAAGCTCTTTTAGCACTTTTTCTGTCTCTGTTCTATGCCTCAATGGTATTAGTCATCTGTGTAGTATTCATTTCCATAGTCCTGCTCTAATTGATAGACCAACTCACTGTCACAAGCTTAACCTGGCTTTCATGAACCTCCAGTAAATCTTCCTGCAGAGCAGTGGCTGGGTCCAGCTTCCTACGTTGAATTATGTCTTCACTATTAGCTGTGTGTTGGACATGGTAGTCAAAACCCTGTATTTCAGTGTCTTTATTTGAGAAAGAGGATAATTATCTTAACAAGCTCAAGTGTTTATTGTGAAAATTGAAAGAAATAACCACAAAGTTTCCTTCATCAGGACTATTTGAGTATCAAACTATCAAAAGACTACAGTCTGTTCCCTCAGAGAAGGTCATGATTATGGTGTTACAAATTCAAACCAGAGCTTTCTACAACAGGGATTATTGTTCTCATTGTACAAAGGAGGGATTTCTGCCAAATCTAAAGATGACTATGTGCTTCTACCACAGTTCCCCTTGTGTCTGTTGTGTCTCAGGTTGTGGGTGTTTTTTACTTTACTTGCTATCTATCCTTATGGCGAGGAACACTGGTGTAGTTCATCCACGAGAGTGAGTGAACAGCATGGCAGATTCACCCACACTGACCTTGTGAGGTTCAGTTTTCCTCACTGAAAACAATGGACCATGATGCTCACTTTTACAGTAAGGATAGCAGCTTAAACAATATGGTAGCTGGTGTGTGTACCATATTTTAGTAGTTTATGCCAATGCATATTTACATTGTTTTTGTTAGTACGTATGAAGACAGCAGGATCACCCCAGTTTTCACAATGGACCAGTGTGTTAATTCTACCTATGTACTCACAAGGGGACTGACCTCCCTTGCTTAGAAGTACTACTTCCTTTCTCACCTGGACACCGATGTATAATCCCTTGTCCAAGCTCTGTGGGGCTAGACAAGATGCACTCCTCAGGACTGTGTCTTAGTTTAGGGAGAAGGTAAACGTGTATCTCTAGTATAGTATATGATACCCAAAACAGTGGTCTTAAACATAGGGTCACAATTTAATATAACAATAGGCTGCAAATAAAATTGTTTTCTGGTTTTCACATAAAACTACAGGTTCATATAATTTCAAGTCATATACTTCCAAATATGCAGATCAGTAGATCAGTCTTTTGTAGTGACTCTACTGTCAAATGGTTACTTTTAAAATATAAATTTGGTGTTCATTTCTCTGGACTTCAGCACTATACACACACACACACACACACACACAATCCCTGGAAACTTGGACAATCTTTGCTCCCATTGAGGTGTGTGAAGTTCACTTGTGGCTGGCTGCATGGTAATCTTGTTAGCAGTTACGTCATGACTCATGATAACTTTCATTACTACTTTGGGAAGTATCCAGAAGTAGATGCCTTCAGTTTTGTATTCCCTTCAGCCCTGAAGTTTTTAAAATTCTAGTTAGTATGTTATATACACTAAAACAATCATAAGACTATCATTAATATGTGGATGGTGCCAAAAGTACTTGTTTGTATAATGATATTCTTTTTCACCATCATTAATCTGCATCAGTCTTGGGAAACAAAGCCTAAATTCTGCCATGCCAGTTTTCACACAAGAGTGCAAAGACAGTGAACTCTATTGATGGGCTGCCTTACTCAGGACTCAAAGGAGCAGTGATGCTCAGTCTGAAAATTCTTGTCTGAGTGTTGTAATTGTAGGATAGGAGGACATCTATAGGCAAGTCATATTAAAAATTACAGTATTCTCTGACTAAGGCTGTCTTCATGTACTCTATTCAACTTCATTAGGATTGGTAAACAGAAAGTAGAACATTTTGTTATCTTACCTATATGTTGCCCATACATATGGTAGAAGAAACTGAAACAATATGCAGTGTTTGTTGGTCCATAGGGATTTTTGGGAGCTATGCTGAATACAGGGCTGAGAAGTCGAGCCTTTTCGCCTTCTAGTCTGGGTCTAGATGTCTCAATATACATATAAAAACCTGAAAGTAGGAGAAGACATTGCTGAAGTACATTCTTATGAGGATATATCATGTTATTGTGACATTTCAGAGCTTGGATTCAAAGTCAAGGTTGATACTATTGTTTAAAATCTCATTTATGAAAGCTACATGACTATATACAATTATTTTAATCATAATTTTAACAGAAAAAATAAGACATAAAGAGATGAGTTAGCACAAAAATAAACAATAACACTCTGATATCTCAACTATGTTTATCACAGAGTTTTGAAAAAACAATAATGACCACAAACTTTGGAAATACCTTAATTACTGATAATATGTAAAGATAAAATGATTTACTCTGTGATTCTCAAGTGCATAATTCACTACACACTTGAACTGTACATTGAGACCTTTTCCAGCTCTCTCACTGCTGTGTGCAAACAGTTCTGTAAACCCCCCTACCTTCTTTGGAACCACTGCGATCAGCATTGGGCCCCGTGTTAGGAGTGTATTTTGTATTTCTTGTCGCAGTACTTTGTTTTGTCCAGTCAAAATTATCAGTGTCATCTTGGGTGAATAAACAAATATTACCATCTTCAAATCCACAGTGAAATTCTCCTGTTAACACATTTTAATTAAAATAATAATTATTAATTAAATTGAACATTGTAATATTTTGTTAGAAAAAGTTCAAATATTGCAATGTAATGACAGTGCACAGCCTTAATGGCACAGCTGTAACTAAATATAAAACTAGTATAATTTTTGGTGAAAATAGTGATGATTTTGCTAGGTTGTTTTCACTTTGCTAAAAAGGGGGTTTCATTCTGGCATTTCCATGTGTGCACACATGATGCCCTTTGGCTATATCTCTCTCTCCCCCTGTTTACCCATCACGCCCTTTCTGTTTTTCTCTTTCATATTACCCATAGTTCCCAAAGAGTACCATCTTATTTTACATCAAGGCAGCATCTTACTACATAATTAAGGCCCAAATCTTTTGTTCAGAAGCAAACAAATTAGTCAAAATAATAGAACAATTCACATTTGACTTCTGACTGGAGAATTTTCCTAACTTTTTTTTAAATGCATCAGAACAGTTGAAACAGAAGTGGCAATTAGGAAATGAACTTTTTTAAAACAGGAGTGGTGGCACAAACTCATAATCCTAGCACCAAGGAAGCTGCTGTAGGAGAATTATCATAACTTTAAAGAGCACATTAAATCCCAAGATAGCCTTTACTATAGATAAGACCTTGTCTGAAGAACAAAAGTAAAGAAAATGAGACTTTTGAATTCACCTGATAGCACTTTAAACATGTATACCTTGAGCATGTAATTTTTTATGCCCTGTCCTCTAGAAATATTCTTTTATACACATCTGCTATGCTGTGTGTTTGCTTAGGGCAAGGCAACAGTAAATTGCTTTTAAAGCAGTCATCATTCATGCTTGAGTTGAATATTGGTTTGCCAGATGTGTGAAACCCACTTGAAGTGAATTTTATAAAATAACTTTATGCTGACCTGAGGAAGGACTGGGAGTTTTTTATGCCTGCCATATGCTGAGTGAGTTCAGAGAGAGAGAGCCTTTTTCAACTTGCCATTAAATAGTGGTGATGGTAATCCTATAACAGAAGCTTTTCTTACTGGGATATATCAAAAAGTATATACATAGATGAGCTGGTAAATTCCATCAGAAACATGAGTTGGGTACAGCTATTGAAAGAACATTAAATATAGTGCATATTCTTCCAGTCCACAGAATAAAGTACTGCAAAATGTCAGTACTCTTCACTGACTCTCGCAAATGAGAAAACTTGGGTTCAGTCAGCTTTACTTGTTAAAAATAAAGTCCGCAAAGACCCCAGCTTTGCTGAAGTTTATATTCCTTCTAGATGGATATGTTCTAGAAAGACAATATTCTATACAAAATATTTTATTTAAAAATAATGTTTTTGTTTCCTGGCTTTAGATGCCAGAGCCATGCCTTCTTGCCATGATGGACAGTATCCCTGTTTATACCATGAGAAAACATGAGTCCTGCTCCCCTCAATTTGCTCCTATTAGGTAATGAATATGGGATGTTTTTAATGCATGGGACTAATTTTGAGGTATGAGCACACTACTCTTCATCGTGTAGCTATAAAGTCAAAAATGTCAAAAATGTAGAATTCAAAATCAAGACCAGATCAAATATATTGGAACTTATGTTTATATAAATTTAGTGATTTGTGACCAGGTATAGTGGTGCATGTTTGAAATACCTATATTTAAGTGGCAAAGATAGGGCTGGGCGGTGGTGGCGCACGCCCTTAATCCCAGCACTCGGGAGGCAGGGGCAGGCGGATCTCTGTGAGTTTGAGGCCGGGCTGGACCGACAGCCTCCAAAACAATACAGAGAAACCCTGTCTCGTAAAAACCAAAAGAAAAGAAAAGTGGCAAAGATAGTCTGATGGTCTATGTTCTAGTCTACACTAGACTATGTAGTGAGACACTGATTTTAATAAATACAATGCTAAAGTAAAATAGTATCACGTATAAGGAAAACCTCAAAATCAAGGGTTGGGGTGATGGCTCATCATGTACATGGTGACCTGAATTAAAACCAAGGATACTTTGGTAGAAATAGAGAATTGATTCATGAACGTTGTCTTATGACCTCCACAGATGCAAACTGGAAAACCTGTTCCCTACCACACACACCATATGCACACATTATGTGCACACATGCACTAGCAATAATAATTATTACTACAATAAATGGTTTTAATAAATAACCTTAATCTTTATGAGGAAAAGACAACAAATCCATAATCAAATCAAAGAAGCATGACAGCAAAGTGGACACACAAACAATTTTCCACAAAAGCTAAAATGAATCCCACAGTTCCAGAACAGTGAATGTTAATCAGTTTGGGGAAATGACTCCGTATTTTCTAACTTAGATGTATCTATTATCAGTATCAAAGTACTTGTTTTTAATCTCTGATAAAAACCATATCGTCTGAACTTTGAAGTGCATACAGAATGCTAACCATACTGTTTTAAAATCATTGGATTTTTTTCTTTTTGTTTTTTTTTTGTTTGGTTTTTCAAGACAGGGTTTCTTTGTGTGTCTTTGGAGCCTATCCTGGCACTCACTCTGTAGCCCAGGCTGACCTCGAACTCACAGAGATCCACCAGCCTCTGCCTCCTGAGTGCTGAGATTAAAGGCATGCACCACCAACGCCCGGCTAAAATCATTGTTTTTATATCAAGTAAAAACAATTTTTACCTAATGCTTGTACATCTATAAGTATTCTATTTTTGTTTACTATGTAACATAACATGATTTCTCAAGTGAAAATAATATACTTACTCAAATGAGGATTTACAGGTGCTAGAAGAAAAGGAAAAAGAGAAAGGAAGAAAGAAAGAAAGAAGAAAAATGAAATGTTAGCAAGGTTTAGATGTCATTTGTAAATAAAAATCTAATTAGTCTACTCAGATTTTCAAAATTTCTTGCAAACATAGTGATGGTAGTGGGCAATTATATCTGCAGCCCATTTTGTTGTATAGGACAGAGTGCATTTTACTTTCAGCTTATACTAAAAACTTCAAAGTGCTACAAAGATCAACATTAAAGAGCATAGGGGAGTCGATCACTTTCCAATCAATGGCAATGTTAAACTTTTATACATTAACCAGTGCTAAAAAAAAAAACCCAAATCACCATTGTGACCTCTAGTGATCTAAAGGGATGACACCAATTGGAAAGCTAAGCAATAGTGTAGAGACCACCCTGAATGCCCATTCCTGATAATGAACTTGATGTCTATAACCATCCTGGAGCCTTCATCTAGTGACTGATGGAAGCAGAGGCAAACACCCACAGTTAAACACTGAACTGAACCCAAGGAACCCAGCGACAGAGAGAGAGGAGCGATGAGCAAATTGGCAAAGAATGGGCTGGCAAAACCAGCAGAGACAGCTGATCTGAACAGGGGACAGCCCTTGGACCCCAGACCGACAGCTAGGAGGCCAGCATGGGACTGATCCAGACCCCCTGAATGTGAGAGTCAGTGAGGAGGCCTGGGCAACGTATGGGGTCCTGAGCAGTGGATCAGTGTTTATCCCTGGAATACAAACAGTCATCGTGTGCCCATAACACAAAGAGGGATGCTCTCTCAGCCTGGACTCTTAGGGGGAGTGCCTGGACCCTACCCTGAGTGAAATGACAGATTCTAGATATCCCCTATGTGGAAGGAATTGGCAATAGGGTGGGAGGAAGGGGGGATGGTGGAGGGTTTGGGAGGAGGGGAGGGAGAGGGAACTGGGATTGACATGTAAAACAAGCTATTTAAAATTAAAATAAAAAACCAAATCAAACATTGGTAAAATAATATATAATGTAGATGAATTTAGAATACAAGCAATTTTCAAGAGATTATATTTTATATTACATCCACTTTTACTGAAAATAATATGACATATAAAAGGAATGAAATTCTTAAATCATGCCATGTGTCTGAAACAAGTAAATACATCAGTCCTACTTTGTTTAATTGGATTAAAACACACACACACATACACACAGAAATTTCAGAACACAGATTTACCATACCTTAAGTGGCATGATACATTTTTTACTTTTTTTGTGCAGAAAACAAACAAAAATAGGACTTTGAGAAAAACAGTTATGACTTTCATAAAAATGCCATCTGATTTCTATTGAAGAGGAAATAAAGATTTTAAGTTTTACTAACAAGTAAAAGCATTTCTACTCTACAGTGTAACAGGGAAAGTGTCTATGGGTCATCAGTTATCACTGAGAACAAATTGCTCTGGGTATAACAGACTCACTGTTTCTTACCAGAATTACAATGGCTGGTAATATACCTTGGGGACATTCTGTTTTATCATTTTCTATCATTTCCCTAGTGTCTGGATAGCCACCATGTTAAAGTTGCAAATTCCTAATAAACAAAAGCACACAAACATGTAGAATAAGTACGTTCTCCCTTACACAGGAACATTTAGACCAGTGGTACCCAACCTGTGGGTCATAACCCTTTATGGAATCAAATAACCTATTCAAAGGATCATCTAAAACTATCTGCACACTAGATATTTACATTAAGATTCATAACAGTAGCAAAATCACAGTTATGAAGTATCAACAAAAATGATTTTATGATTGGGGTCACCACAACATTAGGAATGTTTAAAATAAACATTCCACAAAATTTTTACATAAATACTTACAAAATAAAAAAAAAACTACTCACCAGTATATTTTATTACACGAATTGTTGAATCTCCTTCACCAAATTTAGTGAGAGGAGTTAGTCGGACTTCATAGGCTTCTGGTTTAATTAGTTCAGTCAAGTTATATGTAATTAGTTCTCCCTTTTGAATATTCCCATTTATTTTAATCTCCTGTTCCCACCAACGTTGTTGTCCAGCCTGGAATCAAAATGGTTGTATAATGACATTTCTAGCAGCTAATTTAAAGTTACTTGCTTTGTCTTAAGAAAATGAAACGCAGTTTGGAAGTTTATTTAACTTCATTTTAGGAGTTTAATAAACATCTCATATTTTATACCTATATCATATATGCATATTTTATAAATACATATATTTTATAAAGTCTTTGCTGATGTTTCATGATAACTGCAAAATTATTAGAGGTTAAGTACATAGATTTAATTGACTTGAATGGATCATTCAAACAGAGACCATCATTTAATGTTTGAAGAGGGGTGTGTGTAACTGCATTGAACATAAATTATTGAAGATGTATTAGATTTTTTTTTACGAGACAGGGTTTCTCTGTGTTGTTTTGGAGGCTATCGGTCCAGCCTGGCCTAGAACTAACAGAGATCCGCCTGCCTCTGCCTCCCGAGTGCTGGGATTAAAGGCGTGCTCCACTACCGCCCGGCCGGTGTATTAGATTCTTAAACCACTGTAACTTCTTTATCATATCAACAAATATATACACTGGATACCTAATAGTTTCTAGGATGAACTATAGGTATCAGAGTTATAACACCCAGATTTGTATTTCCTTAGCTCCTGCAGTCCATTGAAAACAGAGATATAATGAAGACTGATATAAAACTCACTAGAAAATGGTTTCCAAAAGTTATCCATGTAATGAAAAGTTACATGTGATGCATCAAATGTCAGTGGAAAGGATCCATCTCTAAGAAATCACAGGGCCACTCCATAAGAACTATGCTTGTTTGTTAATAGATAAAGTCAGGTATCTGTCATTGGGTTCAGGATGATGTATATATAAATGACTTTGAAATAAATTGTTGCAGTTGAGCAAAAGGGATTAAAACATGACTGAGGCAAGCTGAAAAGGAATGAGTGTCATACAGTATGCTACACTGAACACACGATGCTCAGACTATTTTATAATTAATTTGTGTGTATGGGGAGCTAGGTACTGAACTGAGGGCCTCACACATGATGGCAAGTGCTCTCTGCGGTACATACTCCAGTCTAGGTCAGACAATTTTACAGAACATAAATATAAATTCCTAATAAACCAAACATGATTGTAGTAAAGACTCTTTCAGTGTTTTAAAAAAGTTTCTTCTAGTAATTCCATTCCATTAAAATAAAAAAAAATTAAAAATAACCTAGCAGAGCAGTTAAGAAAGGAAAGCTACTCATTTATGAAATGAGTTAGTTTCTGTCATGTAACTTCCAATTTGGCTTGTCCCTCCATAGGTAAGAAATGTAGGAAACCTGCTAAAGGAAGAAGAATAAGTTTCCTTTACATGGAGAAACACTGAACAAACTTAAACATTTATTCACAGCAAAACTATTGATTGGCTAGAAACAAGAACTTGACTAATCCTATGAATGAAATAGAGTACAAATCTATAAGATGCTAAATTAATATTGTTCATTTATTGTAATTATTTATTTTGGAATTGAAAATGAGAAAAGAATATTGAGCCTTACCTAGTCACAAACAGAAACAAGAAAGCACCTAGCAATTGAGACTGTGGGTTTTTTTGCATCCTTATAGAATCGTTGGCTCTTTCTCCCAGTCTCTCAGGTTCTGTCTACTTCCCTCTTTCCCTCTTATGTGTATTTTTTATTTTCCCTCATACAAATAATATCTCTTCATTATTTCTGATTCATGTGATTGTATTTTTTAACATTTTAAATTTTATTAATTAAATTATTGCATCTTATTCATTAGAGTTCTTGATCGGTAGGATAGAGTTATCTATTGTTGCAAATTGAGATTTTATTTTAATATATTTTGCTTGCTTATTCAGATATCATGGATTTTTTTTACTATTCAAAATCCAATAATAAAGATGAAAGACAGATGGCAGATATTAGGCTAGTTTATTTATAATACTTTCTGCTACTGTTCATACCTAAAATATATTATATTACATATACTCTTGTTTGTGGTAATATATACCCTTTATATTTATTAAACTGTTGCTGATCATGTGACTTAAAATTCTCCTACTGGGCATGTTTGGGACTAAAGGCAAAGATATAGTCTTTTAGAGACATGCCTTTGTTCTGATATGCTTCGAAGTGCATCAAACAAGGCCATTCACTCTTTGACTGTGAAATCCTTTGATAGCACAGATCAAGGTGGAAAAAATTCCCTAGTTCCACTTGTCTTAGGTTTCATTTTTGTTTGTCTCAAATTGTTAAGAATCAAAGTTCAGGTTTGCCTTGATGGTGAGCAGCTGAGAACAATACTTGTTTGAATAGGAATTCTACTTACTAGTGTGGATGATGATTTACATGTTTCCTCAGATTTTTCACATGGTAATTCTTACCCACCCATCTCTGTACACACATATGCATGAATTCCTTATATGTACACATAATTGCATATATATATATATTGTTTCCATATACTGTGTATGTGTGCATATATAACTGTGTATGTTTACACACATTCATCTGAATACTGATTTATTCTCTGAAGGTGTATTAGTTTTAACTATAAAGCTTGGATTTCTACTGTTCTTATACTTCTAATGTTGTACTTCTGAAAATTAAAATCTCTAAAATGTGTATTGTTTGTGTTTCTCACTAATTTTGTCACAAAAACCACAAACAAAATAGTAGAATAAAAAGAGGCTACTTCATGTGTAATTCTTGGACCTGTATTCAGAAGGAAGAAAACAATATGCTACTGAAGAGGTATGTGTACAGATTAAAAGCGTGTATAATATAAGATCCTAATCTAAGTTTTACATAGAGAACTCAGTATCAGGATGCTCAACGACTTAACATGACCCAAATAATGATGACTCCAATAAATGTGTTAACATGGAGGAAGAATTCTCACAGGTTCCATCTTGACAAAGAACTATAGATAATTCTGGGAACTAAGAAACTCTGGGAGTGGGAGAAATCCTCTTCTCTAGAGAATATCACATTGATTTTATTTACACTACCAAATGATCAGTCCTGAAAATATATACATGCAAGTGATGGAGGATGTCCTTTATATATATGTTTCTCTCATTGGTTGATGAATAAAACACCGATTGGCCAGGCAGAAAGTATAGGTGAGGTTACCAGATGAGGAGATTTTGGGGGAGAGGATACTGAGAGAGGCCTCCAGAGAGATTCCATGGAGCCACTGAAGGAGTAACAGGCCTTGGCATTCTCCAGTAAGATAGGGCCATGTAGAAATATATAGATTGATAGAAATGGGTTAATAATTAAGAGACAGCTATCCAATAAGAAGCCTGAGCCATCTGCCAAACAGTTCATAATTAATACAAGTCTCTGTGTATTTATTTGGGTGTACATGGATGTAGGTCCAAGAAGGAAAGAAACTCTGTCTATATACCAAGTAATATGCATACTGATCAGATTGTATTTATACACTTAGAATTATATAAATATGTATTTTACACACACAACAAACAGACCATAGGCCATAAATCAGAGGGAGGTAAAGGGTGGAGGTACAAGGGAGGAGTGAGTGAGAGCAAAGGAAACTAGGAAAATGATATAGTTATATTTAAATGTAATAAATAAAAACATAGAAATAAAAAAGATGAAACAGAAGAGATAAATATGACTATGGTTAAAGCGGAAACTCATAATGGATCAGCATACAGAGAATGAGTGTCTGTGGAGTACTCAGCCACATACAGGGCATCTGTATGTCGGACCCCTTCTCAAGGCTCTGAGACTATTGAGGGAGATTGCACAAGCCATAGATCTGGGAGCTCCAAAGGAAACAGTGTCTTCTGGAAATGCCATGAACTCACAGCAGCTTTGTGGTTGCCTGCCCAAGAGCCTAGAGGATCACAGTCAACATTCCAATATGAACTGAACAGTGGAGATGTTTACAACCCCACCACCGATGGAGGAACTATGGACATCTGAGAGCTTCTAGGAAAGGAAAGTGGTTTATTTTATTATTTTTTAATGTTGTGGTCCCTGCCTGGTCAACACACACCCGTTAGTATATGGCCTGCACAAACTGGACCTTGTTGGTTATTTCAAAAATAGACAAGAAGTTTGGAGGGTTGGAGGTAGGGGTGGATTTGGAAGGAGTTGGTGGGAACAATGGGGTGAACATGATCAAAATGCATTGCATGAAACTCTCAATAAATTAATAAAATCATCTATTTTAAAAGTCTGCTGTCATTAGCATTCCAATTAAAGAGGATGCATAAGCCTGAGATTTGAATAACTGTTTGTACCACACAGAGATAACCTGAATGTATTAAAATTCCTATAAGTAAACAAGAAGCAGAATTCAGTAGCAAAATGACTCAGATAATAGGTATTTCACAGATGAAGAAACTCCAATAACTAATTAATTAGGGAACGCTAAGTCCTCACTATAAATCAATGAAATAGAAATTAAATTCACATGATTTCACATAATCAGATAGACTAAAGTATTAAAAATGTAATGGTACTAAAGTTTGGTGTACTTATGAAACAATAAGAAATTTTAAGAATGTTGAACCTATGTGTAAGAAATGGAAGTGACTGTAACTCCACCTCACTAACAAATAAGACTGTAAAGTGTTGTGAATTCACACAGGAGTAGGAGGATTTATGACACAGTAGACATCTATGATAAGCTGTCTTAGCCTTGGTTCTTCTTAGCTCCATATCTCATGGGATAACAAATCACCAGGTTGATGGCACATATGTTTTCAAGTGTCTGAAGGACCCTGAGTTTTAAAATCCTTACGTCTGTAACAGGCAGCAACCAAACCTACCCAACATACTTATGTCTTTATTATGCTACACATCAAGCCTTCCCTGTACTCCAGAAAGGGAAATTATTCTCTGAGGAATTTTGCTGTGCAAATGAACTTGAAAGAAAATATGACGATAATAAAACAACAAAGGGTGTCTGTCCACACAAGACATGCAGAAACACATGTCTGCAGTAATCTCTTTTGCAAGCATGCAGTCCTGCTGGATATGTAAAC